AGAAAGAGGAAAACTGTTCAGCCTTGACAACTTTAAGTCCTCTTGGAGAGTTTACCACGAGGCCTCAGGTTTTACAAAACGAAATCTAGTTATCCTGACAGCAAGTGTTGGTATAACGGACTTAGCTGTGATGAGCACCAGCAGTGTCATGAATCTTTACACGCTACATTCGCCGCTCTGCTTCACTCCCGAATACGTGGGCTATTTCTCGGCATTCCGTCAATTCATGCACGGCGCAGGTGGAGTTACTGCTATCAAAGCCTTTGGAATGTGTCTTGCTGATGTCAATGTCGCACGTATCGCTTTGTTGTCGTATTTAGGCTTCTTGGTGATGCTTGGATTTTCCGAAACGCTTCTCTTAGTTTTTCTCAGTAAGTGTGTTTAGAGACTTTAAAAGGGTTCGACCCTTACCAAACCATATGTATTTTGAAACTGATTTTAAAGTGTTTAAAATGTATTTTCAGTATTTGAATACTATTTTCCTGTATTTTAATCCTATTTGACAAAAAAATTTAAATTTTCGCCCCTGTTTGGAATATATCTTAAGTGTAGTTAAATTATATTTCATCAAAAGGAAAACCTCTCTCATCAATTTACAATGTATTTTGTTTAATAAATATGATTAAAATAGGGTATTTCAAATGTATTTTGGGCATAGAACCACTAACACTGTTACAAACAGAGTTCAAATAGACTATTTGAAATATGTTTTAAGGGCTTAAATGCGACTGTTTTTAAATACTTTTAAATAGGGTGCTTTAACACTGTTTTGAGTTGCATCTACAATGTATTTTGAGGCGCATCCACTCACAAAGTTACAAACATAATTCAAATACACTATTTAAAATATGTTTTTGAGAGCCTAAATGCTGACCGTATCTTAAATACTTTTAAATAGGGTACTTTAACACTGTTTTGAGTTGTATCGAAAATGTATTTTGAGACGCATCCACTCACAAAGTTACAAACAGAGTTCAAATAGACTATTTGAAATATGTTTTAAGTCCTTAACTACTGACCGCATTTCAAATACTTTTAAATAGGGTACTTAAACACTGTTTTGAGGTCTATTTGAATTGTATTTTGGGCACACAACACTCTGACTATAAAAACAGATTGTACATAAAATATTTAAAGTCTGCTGAAAGACATCAAATGCTGACCTTATTTTAAATACTTTAAAATAGGGTACTTATTACTTATTATTATTGAGGTGCAATATTGTAATGTATTTTGGGATACTTATACTCAGACTATAAAAGTAACAATTGCACAAAGTTAATTTTTAAGGATTCATCGTGTCACGAGTTCATAAATGACTCAAAACAAGCTGTCATATTGTGGACCGGATTCTTCTCTCAATAAAGCTCGAGGCGGAGCCAAAAATTAAATCTCCCAGCAAATCAAAAAGAAATTGAAAAAAGAGAAGAAAATTAGCAATAGATTTTAGCTTTGACTGACAACACGTAACTGTGACAGTGTGCCGATAAAGGATCAATCCGCGTTCCTCAATGTTCATTACCTGCAAGCTCTCTGCGAAAATCTCCGCCTAGATTTTAGCCGTGATTCAATTAATGCAGCTACGGGACATTCCATAAGTTTTTTTAAAAGAAAATTCTTAAAATCACATTTTAATTTTCATGTAGAAATTTTTCGCAAACAGCCGAAGCCGCGGGCCGAGAACCGGATGCACGCGGTCAATTGAGATTTGTCTAAAATAAGTCCTTGAAATTTCATAATAATTAAAACAAACTATATCCAAGCTAAGATCTCACCTCGTATATATTGCACTAAGAAACAACGCTCAGATCTGAATAAACTCCGACATATAACTCTTTCTCTCATAGACTATTCCGCACATGCATGGCATATTATTTTTGAGATGTCACGCGCGACTGAAATCACGACTTCGCGCCGCGGTGATGTGACAAATGCACGTGATAAGCAAACCGTCCTTTGTCCTTTGCTCATTTCAAATTATTGAACCGGCGGTTGCTCCCGGGCGGTTGCTGTGAGCTTAAATGCGCTTGATTTTACTGTTTGTTACGATCTTACTAACGTACACTCCAACTCTGCGGATTGTCGGAACACGTAGATGTTGCTTTTATCACGAATCAAAAATGGTTATGACTCCTCAGCGACTGTTATGTACTTTGAAAGGTTCTGGTTCAGGAGAAGAGTCCAACAGTCTAATTGTAAGTATTAAATATACAATGTTACTAAGACGCTTAGATATACGCCATATGAGAAACAAATGAAGGGTAGTAAACATTTATATAGTCGCGCCCGTATGGCAATTTTACTTTTTACAGGATTCCTTGCAGAGACTCGCTGTTTTGTATAAATGATCTCAGTCACTTGATGTCACGTCACCGGCCTCTTTCATTCTCGCGTAAATTTATTCGTATGCTGTTCTTTATCAGCCACTAATTAATGTTCAGGCGTAGCCTGCATTAAGCTTCTGATGATATTTGAGTAAAGCCGTGAATATAATAAACAATGTAAGTTACATGCATGTAGATTAATATTTACCGGTAACGTCAGTAACGTTATACTCTTTTGAAGTCAAAGGTTGATAGCCTGTGTACATACCCCCCCCCCACCCCTCCCCTCCGAGTTTTATTGAGGGAAGGGGTCTGTACACAGGCTAAAGATTGATTTGAGCATTTCTGAAAAATTCCATAAGAATTTCCCGAGAATTCTTAGCGAAATCAACGTAAAGTAATCGGCTAAGAGATAATTCTCTTGAAGTCCTAGCCTAGGACTGTGTGGAGAAATTTCGCCGAGGTAAATCTTGCTTTTTCAGGGTAATTTTCGACGGTTTTGTATTCATTTTATTTCATGAATTTAAATGGTATTTCCATCCTGTTTTTGTACTATTTTTATGCTCTTTCGACCGATTTTTATACTGTTTTCAGACAACTCTAAGGCTATGTTCTTACAATTTTATACTGTTTTTGCATTTTTGCATCCTATTTTTGATGTATTTAATTCATAATATATGTGTGCTATTGCTTTTCTTCTTCTGTGGTATTTTAATACTGTTTTCAAAGTATTTTTATTGTATTTGCAAATACGAGTATTTTACTAAATTTCGAAACCGATTAAACAGCTATTAAAATATATTTTGAAGCATAACATTTTAATAGCGTTTTAAACAGGTTAAAACACCTTTAAAATCAGTCGAAAAATATATCAAAAATATATTTTTTACCTATTTTAAACCTGTTTTTTTCAAAATACGTTTAAAATTGACATTAAAAATAGTTTTAAAATAGTATAGTAAATTAAAATATGTTTTTGAAACTGTTTTTATCCTGTTTTTATTCCGATTTATAAGGTATTTAAAAACTGTTTTTGACCTGTTTTGAGCCTTGCAAAAGCCCTGGAATTTTTTATATATTTTAAAAGCATTTTAAAATACTTTAAAAATTCTTTTTTAATAGCGTTTTAAACAGGTTAAAACACCTTTAAAAGCAGTCGAAAAATACATTAAAAATACCCTTTTTACCCTATTTAAAACCTATTTCACAAAACAGGTTAAAAACAGTTTTCAAAAATAGCTTAAAAATACATTCAAAACAGTGTTGGATTTGGTAAGGGGACCTAGATTCTAAGACGAGGACGAAAACGAGGACGTAACTTTCTCAGTACTAAGTACTTACTTACTGCGGTTTCACCATCACAGTTTGCGATCAGGAGAGGGTTAAACCTCCTTCAATACAATTTGACGTATAACGCTTACTTTTCTTTTGACAAAAAGTACAATGTAGCTTCCCGGGAAGTATATGTAAGTGTAGCGGGCCGTTTCGCGAAATTAGATAAAGCTGGTGGGGGGGCTTAAAAGAGGATTTACGGTGAAATGTTGGAGCATAAAATATATGTTGTTTTTTCCTTTCTGTCAGGTCCTGTCGTTGGTATATTTGGCGGTGCTGGGCCCCCGGTACTAAGAGGAATGATGTCAAAAATTGTCAGCTTGGATGATCAAGGTAAACTTACTCTAAGCAACGGAAGATAAAATGGATCAAAATTCTCCTTGCCTCATCTTATACCAATTACACCCTTGCAGTCGACTTGTTCAATTTCACAATTTTACACGAACTGGGCGATTTATCGCGCCCTGATTGGGCGAGAGCAATGGTCGATAAGAGTTAAGAGCATGGAAATGACATGATGCTGGCGCAATTTCAAGGGTTTTTTCTCTCTGTCTCTCTCGCGCGCTCACTCCCTTGAGAAGGCAAAGCTTGCAATATTGTCCTGTTTACACTACTAAAGCAAACAAACTGTCAGGGAAAAGCTGCTACTGTACTCATATATTCAGGAGGAAAAACATTTTGACCGTGTGGTATTTTGTGCTGGTTGCAAGTTGTTCTGTATAGCCTACGTAGCAGACGTCCTTATCTAACCCCCGTTAGCAACGTCTGCAAAACAGCGCCTATATCCCTGTTCTTGGCCTATAACGGACTTAACAAACTACTGGAAATGCGTTTCGAATCAGTTCCCTTCAGCCTGATTGGCAATTCGACAATGGCACTTGTAGCGGGTCAATTATGGTGTTTACTGAAATCCTGCAGTGGTGCGCGGGCCCAGAACAAGGATTTCGGCGCTGTTTCGCATTAACCAGGCCCCGGTTGTTCAAACGGTGGACAGCACTCGCTATCCAGCGGATAAGTATTATGGAAACCAATTGCGTTATCCACTGGTTAGTGATTTATCCATAGCGTTATTCACCTTTTGAACAACTGGGTTGTTCAAAAGTTAGTTGCGTCTGTGGCGCAGGCTAGTTGTGTAAAAATCTTTTATATTTGTGTTGATTTGTTTTCTTCTCATTTTCAGGCTCGCTGTTTTCCGCTGTTTCGTCAGTTGAGATGCTTTGTACATTTGTTGGAACCGCCATGTTGAACTCATTGTATCCAAAATCATTGAAGTTCAATGCTCCTGGATTCGTTTTTTTTTTAGCGGGCATTTTTCTGCTATTGCCTTTCGCTTTTACCTTGTAA